GTACCTCGTCAACGACATTGCACCTGGACTAACAACGTCGGGGGGGCAGGCGATGATGGCATACGCCTGCTGTGTGAAGAGGCGAGTGGCATCGGCGGGCCCCCGTTGTCCGAACACAACTCGGCCTTCGATATTCGGGCAGTGCGGGAGCGGATCGAGGGAGATCGGGTGAACGAGGAAGCGACGCGACTGATAGACAGCCTGCGACCTAGCGGAGCGCGAGGGGGAGGAGAGGCGAGGCCAGCGGCGAGCCCGGGCCCTGCCCCCCTACCTCCTTGGGGGGAAGCAAGGGCTAGATCCCCCCCCCCGGAGCGCGGTGAACGATCGGTGCGTGGAGCCGCGGCTGGAGAGGCCGCAGGGTCGTGGGGCCGCCCCCGAGGCTCCACACCAGGCGTCGCGGCCGCCAGTACCGCCACCGTACCCGCCCCCCCCACCTCCGCCTCCGCCCCCGCCGTTGGGACGACCGCAGGGTCAAGGGGCCGCCCCTGAGGCTCCACACCAGGCGTTACGGCCGCCAGTGCCGCCACGGTACCCGCCCCCCCCACCGCCTCCCCCGCCCCCGCCACTGGAACGGCTGCAGGGTCGAGGGGCCGCCCCTGAGGCTCAACACCAGGCGTTACGGCCGCCAGTGCCGCCACGGTACCCGCCCCCCCCACCGCCGCCTCCGCCCCCGCCGCCGGGGTGGCCGTCACCGTACGGACCCGCACGGATTCTGGGGGATCCGGAGCCGGCCCGCCGGAGGCTGGAGAACCCGAGAGAGGGGACCGAGGGGGGGGGGGGGGTGCCGTGGGAAGACAGCGGGTCAGCCGGCGAACCGGAAGGCCGGGACCGGAGGGCCCCGGGTGAGACCTGGAGTCAACTGTCGGAGGGGGTGAGAGCCGAGCTGACTCGGCCCCTGCGAGTGGGGTCGGGACATACGAGCTCACCAGGGGTAGACCCGTCGCGGCGGCAGCTGGACCACCGGGATCTGCGACAAGGAGGGCCACGCCTCCCCGAGCTCGATGAGGGGCCAGCGGAGGGGAGGGGCGAGCCGAGAACGATAGAGAGGCCGCGGATGCGGGTGCGACTCGTCGACTAGGGAGAGCCGGCCCGACCTCCCTGGGCGGGGAGGCGACGCGACCCTATGCCACCGCCCTCGCCCGGGGAAGCCTCGGCCGGGCCGTCGACACTCTCGGAACCGGTGGAGCCGGGAGCTGGCGAAGACGAAAGGCGGCAGCGGAGAAAGCGACACCAACAACGAGGGAAACGAGGGGGGGACCACACCGGCCGTCGTATGACGCTCGCGGCAAGCGAACAAGAGAGCGAATCGGGGAGAACCGGAGCCCCGGGAGGATGGAATGTGGAGCTCCGGGACCGCGGACTAAGCAAGTGTCTGTGTTTGGGCGTGGTGTGAAGTGTAATGCTGGTGTAATGTGTCCACTAGCTCCGAGTAGAGGGGGGGCGTCCTGCAGTTAAGGGGAAACCCGGTACGCGGGTCCAACCCTCGGAGAACCGTGTTTACCTTATGGCCCTTCCCCTGCGCGAACCCCCCCCCCCCCCCCCCAGGGGTCAGGGCTCTCTAGCCCGTCGCCCGATGCCGATCATCCCCGGCCCGCCCCCGCGCGCTCCGCTGGGTGCGCTCTTCTTACTTCTTTCTTTTAGCTCCCCGGCCCTGGACGTGAGGTTACTAACTGCACTCCAAGTGCTCCAAGTGCGAGAGCGAAAATCTTCCCTACACACGCCAACGGAACCGACAAAGAAACGCCGCAGCACGCTAAAGCTGCCCGAATGCGCACACGGCAGCATGGACGTGTACGAGTAGTGGATCCGACAGAGGACAAGGGACATGCACGCGCTTCTACGTTCGCATATCAGCTGTGCTTGGGCCCGCCAGCAAGTTGGACTCTCGGGAGCGCGGGGGTCTCAGCCCCAGGCCAGCCTACTGACCCAGCTGCTCGCGCCCGCACGCCCTCCGGTGCGAGAGCATGCTGAGCTGCACGGCCCGGTGCGTCGCGTTGGTGCTGTGAGACTCGTAGCGCACCCTCTTCTTCTTCGCGACCGGCTCCCCGACCACCCGCGCGTACGCCACCGCCGCCTCCACCGCCGTGTCGAAGATGCCCACGCTGCGCACTTTCTTTCCGCCCTTGTGCCGCACTCGAAAGCGGCTGCCCAACTTGTCCACGCCCTTGTAGCCGGTGCTACTGTGGCTCGAGAGGTGCAGGCGCAGCCCCTCCGCCTCCGCCACGACGCCCGCCCGCAGGAGCGCCGCTGCCGCCTCGTCGGAGTCCGTCTGCGCGGCGGCGGAGTCCGCGCTGCCATCGCCGCCGTGGAACGGCAAGCCCATGCCAGAGAGCACGACCGCCACCTCCTCGGAGGGGCCCGCCCCGCCAGCCTCTGGCGCCAATGCGTGTGGCGGCTCGAACGCGTCGGCGTCAGCGGCGGCGTCGGCGTCAGCGGTGGCGTCGGCGGCGGCGTCGGCGTCAGCGGCGGCGGCGGCGTCAGTGGCGGCGTCAGTGGCGGCGGCAGCGGCGGCGTCAGCGGCGGCGGCAGCGGCGGCGGCGGCGGCGGCGGCGGCGGCGGCAGCGGCGGCGGCGTCGTCGGCGGCGACCGCCTTCGCGTACGCCACCGCCGCCTCGACCGCCGTGTCAAAGGAGCCGAGGCAGACCGACCTCGCGGTGCCTCTGGGGCCCACCTTGCGATGCGCCAGGAAGAGAAACCTCTCTGGCTCGCCGTGGGCAATGGACAAGCTGCGCCGGCTCACGCCCTTGTAGCCGGTCTTGGTTTGGTTGGAGAGGTGCAGGCGCAACCCCTCCGCCTCCGTCACCACCTCTTCTCCAGCGCATGCCACGGGGCAGCCCTCGCCGCCGGGGGCGGCGGGGGCGGCGGAGGCGGCGGCGGAGGCGGCGGAGGTGGACAATTTCCCCCCCTCCCGGACCCTTGCCCAACCGGAAGTTTCGGAGGTG